GTGCAAAAATTCTTACGCTTAGCACAACGAATTGAACCACAGAGTTAAAAGTCAGCAAATGTGAAAAGGACCTGAGCTCAATATTCGGTTCAGTTTTTGTGTGCGCTCTGTCTCATTCGGTCGGTGTGTCTATTTTTTTCGCTTCAAGTTTTTCTGTTTACTTTCTGTTATAATGCGATCGAATGTCGTTGTTCTTATGTACTTACTATACAAGTTTTCCGGCTCCTCATTCACATATGATATGGCGAAGAAAAAAAACTTGGTCGCTTTCGATACGATGAGTCTCTTCTTCTCTCGTTATTTTGAAATTGCAACTCACGCTTTTCGCTCTCTCTCTCTCTCTCTCTCTCTCTCTCTCTCTCTCTCTCTCTCTCTTTCTCTCTCTCCGCATCCACGTGTGCATCTTTTGTGTTTTGCAAAAGCTGATTCTTTCGACGATGAATTTTTTCCTCTCTAATCTGTTTTCATATTGTGGTGCATGTATCGACTGATCTCCGGCTTCCATAACAAAACTTCATTGCAATATGTTTGCCTTGGTATAATGCATTTTACAAGCTCCGAAAAGCGAAATACATAAATCTGATGATGAAGAAGAAAACCGAAGCTGAACCAAACAGGTAAAGTGCATGGAACAGCAAACAGCATAAAACCTCTTAATTTTTCATTTATTCCTTGCACTTGGCGTGACTAATCCAAGCCAAAGATTTTTTGGCGGAAAGTAAACGAAAAACGAGAACAACACCAGCAGCAACAACACCAGCAGCAGCTGAGATGGAACGAGGAGCAAAAAACACGACGAATCAACTAAACAAACATCGAAAAACTGAAATGAGCAAAAATGTAAATATTGGAGCCTTTGTGGGATATTGTTGCGAAGGTAATAGCTCAATGCGATTTTCATGTATTCTGCCAAAGGGGTCGACGCACACAAATGTGTGCAGTGGGACGTTTGTGGAGCGCTCTCGCTCTCCTTTTACACAAAGTGCACACAGTTTTCGTGTGATGCATGCATATAATGTGTACAGAGTAAACGTAATTGCATGAGCAACGGCAATATCAAGCTTCGCTGCTTCATATGCATGTGTTCACCACGGTGAGAGAGACAAAGAGCGTAAGCTGAAAATGCTTTTGGCCTTGTTTTTTTCCTTTCTGCTGCACACAATGCAACGAGGAAAAAGTAACTAATATACGGACACAATTTCAATTTTTTTCCTGGGTGCTCTCTCTCTCTCTCTCTCTCTCTCTCTCTCTCTCTTCTCGTGTTCAACAACAAACGACTAAAGACAAAAAAATGGGCACCAGAAAAAAGTGAATCATTTTTTCTTTGTGTTCGTTCCTGAAACAAGAATAGGACGTTGTTGTGTTTCAGCATACATTTTCTTTCGGATTTTATGCAAAAGTTCGCAATCAATTTCCTTCTCTTCTGATAGCTTTCTTCCTTTCGACCGCTGCTGCTGCTGCTGCGATGATGCTATTGCTGTTGCCGGTATTTCTCTGCATTTAAATCTAGGTTGTGACGCAAAGCAAATTGTAATCGTCTATGAGACGAACGACAAAAAAAACAAGTTGAAAGTTTTCTTGTGTTGTCGCTTTCTTTTTCATTGGCTTTTCAGATCAGCGTACGTTGGTAACTTTTTACCGCTTGTTAGCCTTTGCTCACATAGCACTCGAAATTTCAATCATCGACTGATTTGCCTGAGCAAAAAAAAAACAATTTTTGTTCTTCTTCTTTTTTTTCATCCGCCTCTTTGCCTCTTCCATTTCAATATTCATGCAACGAAAAAAAGCGGCGTTTTCTGCCCTGTTGTGTGTGTTTGTATGTGAGTGTGTGTCTGCATTGGCGTTGACATATTTTACATTCTCTTTTTATTTTGCTTTCGTCTTATTGCCGAAAATCACTTTGTTCCAATGTTAAACATGCAGACACAATCGATCCATCGTCGTGATAAAAATGGGAATTGAACGAAAATCCAAACAAATTTCGCTTTTGTGTATTGGCCATTGAGAGGTTTACAATGTGCACATTGGCCGATTCATATGAATAGAGATCGAATGCGTGCGTTCTTTTTGGCCGCAAAAATCGAAACAGAAGCCGACACACACACATACACACAAATTGAATACAATCATCGACCGCGAAAGTCTTGAACTTGTCATACAATGCGAAGTATTACACCGAAATTCGCTTGTTCCAAAGAATGAATATCAAGCATCACTAAACATTCCAGAAAAATAGTCGATGCCAAAAGACAAGAGAATCGAAACCAAACCAAACACACCGAGAAGGAAAAAAACTATAATTTTCGCTTAGTGCCCAAGTGATTCATTTAAAAGATTTCATTTGAATGCTTCTTTTGCACGCAACTCTTTTTTTTCTCTCCTTTGCTACGCGCTCGCTTGGTCGCTCTCTTCATTTCTGCTTGCGTTTACTATTTCGTTGATCGTTGCTAATTTTTCTCATTCTTCATCTATATACGATGACGGTTGGGATTTTTTTTCTCATTCCGTTCTTGAGTGAGACACAGAGTGAGAGATTAAAATCGCATGAGACTGAAAATATTTTCATTTTATTATCGTTTTTAATATTAGCTCCAATGAACATAAACGAAACGATTGTCTCGGAATTTTTGGGCAGAGTTTTTTTTCAGTTTCGTTTCGTTTCGGTTAAATTTATGATTTGATATTTCGTTTGAAGTGTGAGTGTGTGTGTGTGTGTGTATGTCATACAAACCTTGCCAACGACAAAAACGATGAATACGTTGAAATGTGTGTATGTGACACGATGCAAATTCGCCCAGTTTTATTGAGCCGTTTTTATTACAAGACATCATTCATCACCACGATTCACATGCTGTGACTAATTTATAAGGATATTTTGAAGAACATGGCGACTTTTATATAAATAACCACGACATATATTCTTTATTGTTGTTATTGTTGTACTTGCGCCTGTGGAAGGTAAAGCTCCATATCGCCTGCTTGCCATATTTTTTTTTTGGCACAGATTAAAAACAGAGTAATTCGATCGTTGCAATTCAATTCACGTTAGTAGTATAGTTTTGTACTGCAAATAATTTTATGGTTATGCCAACGGCGCGTGAGGTTCGGCTGACAGCCAACGTAGTAATATTGCCTTGTGTGTTTGTCTAGAAGGATAAGCTATAATGATAAGATGTATGGATTTTGTCTGGCATTCTTGAAGAAGACGACGAAAAGAAACAATAACAATCATCCATAAGGTGCAGAGAAATAATTCCAAGAAATTCAACTCAAAATTGGTATATAGCATCAATGAAATTACCATCATCATTTGATTCCTGCTCCTTTTTCCGTAATGCCTTGTTGTTGTTGTTATTATTATTCATTTTCATGGTTGTTTCTGTTCGGCGCTGTTGTTGTTGTAGTTTTATTTATTTTCTTTTTATTTTCGTGTGCAAAGAGAGCCCAATAACCGGTTTTTATCTAAATGTTCAAAATAAAAATATGCACACAGATACGCAGACTCTTTCTGAATTGACTACCGAGAGGCAAAGTGCGCACGAACATCGGCGAAATTTCATCACAAAACGAAGATGAACGGGAAAAATATTGGTGAACACAAAACAGAAAGGAAGAAAGAAAACAAAACGGCCAAGAAGAAGAAGAAGAAGAAGTAGAATTCATTGCTGCGATGCATCGTCTACCAAAGTAATTCGTGCAGAATCTCGCGTTTTGCACACTCATCACCTCCGTTTGAGTTTAGATGTACATTTTGCATTAACTATTACGGCCAATTTCGTTTGGCTTTTTTTCTTGCCATTATTATTCGCTCGCTTTTTTTCCTTCTTTGTCGTCTTTTTGCAGCTTTTGGTCGCTTTAGTGCACACAGAAAGAAAATCAATACTGTCCAAATACATTTAAAGTAGGACCACGGCACATTACGTAAATGAGAATAAGTGCAAATTCGGAATGGACAAAGTTAGATGAAGGTACATTGCATCTCTTGTTGGGCTCACCATGGCATGCATATCATAGAAACGCTAGTACGCGCTTGTTTACTTAATTTGTTCGCTTCTTTCTTGTTTCATCATTCGCTGATTTGGACGGATTCTTTCTTCTTCTTTTTTTTGCATTTCGTTTTTCTTCTTCTGTTTCATTGGTGCTTTGGTCGACGTATTGAATATCTGCACATTCATGCATTTAAGATCGTGTGCACCTTATATCTTGTTCTCTCGCTCTCTTTTGCTGTGTTCTTTCCGATGCCCTCTTCACTATTTTGTGTGTTTGTGCTCTTCTCATCGTGCTTCTTCTATCTTAATGCATCGTCTGTAGGGCACTTTGTCGAGAAATATCCATCTCCAAAGTTCTTCTAGTGCATTTACCGAGAAATTGGAAAATGTGATTGAGTAAATGATTTAAATATTGAACAACACTCCGGGTGATGATCGTTCAAGAGGACTGTCGATATATACATATACATGAGAGCTGAAGAGTACCGAGTGAAAGAGTCGTTAAGGGATACTGACTAACTGAATTGAAACCATTTCAAACGGAATATATATATATGCTATACACCATTAAAGTCCCTATTACTCGAATCGACAGAAAAAATTTCTATCATAAAATATAGACAACATGGAAAATCGTTCCATGAATAAGCGCTGCTATTCATAAGAAGAAGAAGAAGAAGAAGAAAACAACACAGTGCTCGAAAATGTAAAACCCATTTGCTGTTTTACGTACGTATATACATATAAACATAAATGCTACGCTCCAAATGCAAAAGACGATACTCCATAATCCCAGCACAAGTTCTTTCATCCATTCAACGAGTGTCTTTGATTTTTTTTTTGTATTTGCACAAATAATATTGTGTATATTGAGAGAACGCAAGAGCAAAATATTTAACAAATCATTTGTGCATTGTGTCAAAAGAAATGCGAGAATAAAAAAAAGAGAATTGAATGATGTGAAAACTTGAAACTCGATGCAAATGCCAAAAAACCAAACACCAAATGCAATTAATGTAGTTTAAGATTTCATTTTATTAGAACACTTATGCTTATAGTTTTGTTTTAAAATTAAAATAGCTTTTTATAATTCAGTTTAGATTTTGTAAAAGATGCTGGATGTTCTATTTGTTATTGTATTGTTTCTGTAACGATGGCTGAAATTGGCTTTTATCGAAGAGCAGACCGTTCGATTTGTGAGTTTTGAGTTTGCGTTTTCATGCATCCATCATCGAACAATTTACAATTGTTTCGCTCAATTTGATTTACGAAACTTATGGCATGGATTCGACATCGTAATGCAATGTCGTCAATTTGCTGTTACTCTTGCACACACAAGGGGAGAAAGAGAGAGAGAGAGAGAGAGAGAGAGAGAGAGAGAGAAAGAGAGAGAGAGAGAGAGAGAGAGAGAGAGGAGGGAGCGAAGACGTGCAGTGTCCGTTGCTCAAATCTCTGTCATAATATTTTCCAAATTGGATTTTGTGGTTGCTTACATTGTGCAATGCATTTAATATTCAAACTCTCTCCATCTCTCTTTCTCTCCGTTGCATGGTGCAAGAACCATCTATGTCTGATTGCTGTGGATTTCACATATTCTAAGTTCTGGTTTTGCCTAGTGTTTTCTTTACGGTCTGTGTTGCGACTATATACCATACGACTATATCTCCTAGATGCTTTAATATAATGTATGAATTGTATACATGCAATATTAGGTGCTTAGATGTGAGTTTCCGTTTGACGAAAATCATCGCAAAACGGTTACTCTGCTCTTGTTCTTTTTTTTCTTCATTCTTTTCTTCTACTTTACACGCGCATAACAACAACTGGCCTCCCGCTCTCTCTCTCTCTCGCTCTCTCTCTCTCTCTCTTTCTTTCTTTCTCTCTCTCTTCACCGTTCTGATCAACATAGAATCTATTTATTTTGCAATTTGTACAACTTTTAGCTGATTTTGTGATGTAGCTATTCTGAGTGAGTAGCAACAGTTTTTAGCTTTCGCGATGACACTATTCAAACTACAATGAGAAATTATGTTTAATCACTTCTGCTGGCACCTAAGTCTTATGCAAATAGTTCATGTTATGTGGTGTATGTTTAGTATGAAATACATTGTGTTTTCTTTTTCTGGAGAAATAGTAAAAAGTTTAAACTAGAGCACTGTATAGCATTGTTGCCAACAAACATTTATGACCATGTCTATTACTTTTTCTCTCCTTCAACTACTCCTGTTTTATTGCAATTTTCTTGTTGCTCACATTGAAATCGATTATTTTTCTTTCGGTTATCGTGCAAATTTGATCGACAAATTTGGAAGTACTTATAAAGAAAGAAAAAATCGATTAAACGTAGCTACTTTGGAGTTGAATAGCAATTTTGTTTTTGAAACATTTTTCCATACCAAATTCGATCTTTCTTTCTGTTCGGGTATACAGTACACTGGATAGACTTAAGTACTATGCAATCTGAGGACGCGCGGAAGAGCAGATATTGTTTCGGTTACTTCATATTTTTTCGAGTTCTGAAGATTGCTTCTTCTTGAGCCGAACTTTTCCCGTGTTTTTTTCTTCAGTTTTGTGGAGTCCTCTTCAATCGCTCTCTACATAATATTTTTTTTTTCTACTAAAACACATACAATAGTCTCATATTTATGTTTCTTTTGCCGGTTAAATGGGATTGAACAAAACAGAATTGTAATTATTTGCTTTTTTCTTTCCTTTGCTGAAGAGAAAATTTCAATGGCTTGAAAAAAAGTGTATCTAAAATATGCCCTCTGATATCGAGCATTCTCCAATTCTTCCATTATCGAGTATTTAAATTCAGTACAAAAAAAATGACAATGAAAAATCTTGACGATGAAAATGAAACCTAAAGTATATGTAGTTGAACTTCTTTAAAAAAAAAATCATAAATGGTATAACTATAAAACCAACTTATATATCACTTTCAAATGTTTTTTTTTTCTCTCTTTGTTTCCATTTGATAAAACTCTAATCAACGCATTCGTCTCACTTTCCTATCCTTATTGTTTCTTCCCAGTTTTCATCCAATTTGAGCTTAACTCTATTAACTCTACTTGTTTTTCGTATCCAAAAAAAATCGTTGCGCAATTCCAATATTCTTGATCATTTGTAAAATAAAGTAAAAAAAAAAGAAATTTCGATTCAATCAAATAAAATATTGAAGTGATTAACAACTAATAGAAAAGTGTAAAGAAAATATTCACGTCTTTTGTATATATATAAATTTAAAGAAAACGTATTTTTTTCTTCGCTTTCAGATGCATGTTAATGGTCTTGGTATCAACCGTGCACTTTCTATGGTTCATCATCATTAATGGCCTCACACATGGTGAATGGTCACCGTGTGACTCCATCGATTCTAACAAAGTGTTTATTCGTTTCTTCATTTCACTTAGACTTTCAACAATTGTTTTCACATTCATGGCTGCCACTCGCTTGCTTCTTAACTATCTTATTGGCGGGGGCATTCTAATAGCACTTTTCCTAACATAGCTGCAAAATAATGAATTTGATTCAGATACTTCGCATCCTAACCTGTATTAGTCATTCTCTTTTCTTGTATATATGATTTTCAATCGGTTTCATTTCTTGTTTTTTTGATTATTTTCTTGCATTGTGAACGCAACACTGGTGATCGTTTACATGGTGCGGCCGGCCGGACGACGATGTCGTTTAGAAATTTTTCAGGAGTTGCTTGCAATGGGATATGTGCGAATTCAAACCGGACAATTGACGAAAACGTCGATCACACGCAGAGCATTGAAACGGTTTTTCGTCACTGTGGATGCGCTCGTGTGTGATCAAACCACTCAGCTGACGAAATCCCTTGTCACAGTACGAACATTGGTATGGTTTTTCGCCCGAATGAACGCGCAAGTGAGTTTTCAAATTACCAAGCTGCACAAATTTCTTGTCGCACATGGTACACTCAAAGAATTGTGCCGTATTCGTATGGATGAGCATATGAATGTCTAAATGATCTCGTCGCTTGAATTTCCGACTGCAACGATCGCAATTGAATGATAAATTACCATCCTCTGGATTGTATTCGATTTTAACGACGCGATTTGGATTCTGTTCGTCGATTGGTTGCCGTTTTGATTTGGTTTTTTTCAGTGTTTTCTCAGCGCCGGGTAAACGTTGTAGCATTTTATAGGCCATCATATCCTGTACGTCTGAACCATCAGATGTGGTTGGTTCGACTTTGTTAGGGCATTTATGGGCTCGAAGTGCGCTCGACTGATGAAATTCCTGTGTGCATGTGGTGCATTTGTATGGCCGAAAATCGAGGTGAGTGCGTTGATGTGCTTTCAAACCACTCAGCTGTCGAAAATCCTTCGTGCAAAGATCACATGTGTATGGTTTTTCGTTTGTATGTATTCGATAGTGAGTTTTCAAGTTGCCTGCCTGTGAAAATAGCTTGAAGCAAATGGTGCACTCGAAGGACGTTGGCTTTTTGTCGGAATGTCGTTTCATGTGAATCATTAGGCGATTGTCATCGACAAACGTCTTCTCGCATATATTGCATTTGTGATGCTGGGCAACGGTAATGACATTTGTTGTCGTACCGAGTAAATTTGATTGCGGCGCTTGATGCACAACCGTATTGTTCGGTATAACATTGGTTGGTACATTTGTTGCTGCAGCAGCTGCAGCGGCCGCGGCTGCAATATGCCGATTCTGATATGAGTCTGCCGGATTCAGTTTCACATAATTAATGTTGTCCTGAATGAAATTCGAAGCTATTGCACCAATTTGCTGATAATTTGGGAAGAAATTCAATGCGCTGCCGTCGTTTTTTATGACCAAATCCATATTGGCTGTGTATGATTGGGTGATAAGATCACGCACTTCGCGATCGTATGCGAATTGTAGGCTTTTTTCAATAACGATATGATTCGCTGCTGCAGATTCCGTATAAACAAAGAGAAAAGATCGAAAGAAAAAGAAAAATAAAACACAATGAAGAGAGAACATAGCTAACATTTCGATATCATCAGAGTTTTGTGTTGATTTCACATCGAGTGCATTCGTAATGAAAACGAGGAAAACGAAGAAATCGGACGAGACAACAGCAGAAAAAGAAAAACAAATATATATTTATATAAAAGGAATGAATAAATGTGCATGAATCGGCGAGCGTGGAATATACAGAGTACAAAGGATCATCGAGCAAAAAGATGTTATGGGGTTCACCATTGAGAATTTCACAGTTTTTTTTTTGTTCCTTCTTGCTTATAAAATGGATCTGTACGAAGAATTGAAGCGATGAAAACAAACGAACGAACAAGCGTAGAAAAAAATGCATAGAGAAGAAAAAAAAATCATCCAAAGAAAGAAACATAGAACGAAGAGGAATATAAAAAAAAACATTAAGACACGAAAAACCATCCAACAATAATAAGAATAACAGAAACAAAACAGAAAAAAAGATCCGTAGAGAATGAGAAAAAAAAGAAGTGAATAAAAAACAAAATACTAATAATAAACACATACAAATCAAAAATAACTAAAAGCGAACGGCTTTAACTTTAGCGCTTTTATTTTGTCGACATGTTCGCTCGGTGTGTATTTTGTATTTTATTTTTGTGTGTTGTATTTAGTAAAGTGACTATTCAGAGAATAACAAGACATACGTATATTTTCGTTCTTAAAGCATTCGTACGTTTGTTCGTTCGTTCGTTCGTTCGTTGGCTCTGGCTGGCTCGTTTCGCCTGGCTATGCGAACGAGCAAAGCAAAAAAAAGAAGACGAAGTAACGTCTACAATGTCTGCAGCAAATAGTCCAAATATGTGATACCGAGTATGCATCCGATTTTGAAGTGTGTACACTGTGTGTTGTGCACACGGTACACACACACTCACGCATCGCATACAATGTATTGTATCACAGAGGAGCACGGCATGGCACAGCATATCCAGAGTCATATATATATATATATAAATTGTTGCATAGCCATAAATATAAAAAAGCGAAAAAGAAGAAGAAAAAAGCACACAGCGAACAAATAAAGAATACAAAAGACGTTTTCGTTCGTTTCATTTTTCTTCTTTCCAATTCGCCGTTTTCTTCTTCTTCTTCTTCTTCCCTGGATCTTGTTTATTCTGGCCATAAGAATCTTTTGCATTTGTGTGTACGATGTGCCTGAGTTTACTGTACACATTGCTGCTGTCAAAAAAAAAATCGCTGTGTATATATGAAATGGCATTTGTGCTACACATGCGCCGATCACACATCGCGTTGTCTGTGGTAGAGAGCGTTTACGCTCGTCTATGTGAGTCTATGTAGTATATTGGATTGTTAATACGAAAATGGTGAATGTCAAATTGAGAAAAACAAGCGAATGAGTTTAGTTATGGTTCTCTCCCTCGCACTCGTATGCGCCAGTGCAGCGCAATAATCGCTTTCGCTCTCTTTTTGTCGCGCGAGAGAAAAATAATATGTATCTCTGTATACTAGCTCTTTGTTGATTCGATGCACAATTCATTTCGTTTTTTTTTTCGTTCGTTTTCTTTTTCTGTTGGTCTCTCTTTTCGCTGCACTCGTACTATTCTTTCATTTAGAATAAAATGATCGAATTTACTTACAATTATCAATTGATTGAGCAAACAAATTCGAAAATTTGAATGTTGAGAGTGTCGCCGAATTGCTAATGCTGCTATTGTTGCTGATGGTGGTGCTGGTGCTGGTGCTGGGTATTGTGCGATTTTCGCAAGGGAACGACTCTTTGGCTTCAATCCTTTCGATTCGAGTCCCTTTCGGTGTCGCTTCTTTTGTCTACGATCTACTTTGCACTTGACGCCAAATCGATTTGTTTCACTTTTATCCGAATTTTTATCGCGGTATTCAAATGGTTCAGCATTGAATCGTTGTCTTTTTCGTTTCAATCCAAATGTACTACGGTTCAATAGAAAACGCCGTCTGTCAGTTTGACGAAAACAGTGCATGCGAATAATGCAATGCAAAATAGCTGCGCTGGTACAGTTCAACACACACACACACACGAAGCTATTTCTCTTCAAGATGATTCGGCTGATTTCGATTTTCTGGCTGGGTACTCTCCGGCTGCGGTGTTCTTTGGCTACTTCTGGGTTCCCCTTGTGGCTACAACCTTCTTTTTTCGTTCAGGGTTTTTTTTTCTGCAATTTGTGTCGCGTATTATTTCACAACAACGCACTATTTCAGAGCAGAGCAATGAATTGAATATGGACTCAACAAACGGTGACAGCATCGACACTTGTAGAGAAATGCGCGTATCGTCGTCGTCGTTGTCGCTGTCGCCGTCAATATAATATTTCAACAATAAACACTGTGGTCTACACAGGCCAAACAGGAATATAAATTTTCAAACAGCGCAGAGACGAGTAGACAATATACCGAAAAATAATATGAACAAGAAAAACAGAAACAAAACTGAACAATTTCACAATAAGCAGTGCTCTAAATGTGGCAGAATAAAAGTTTTAATGTTTATCTGTTCAAGTATAACAGCAAAACTAAAAGGAGACGACGGGCATTGGTTTGGTGTACCCGACCGATACAGAATACGTGCATGGCTATGTGTTAGAACCGAAATTGTGGCTGTGTGCAGGCGAACGAGAAGCAACGACGACGACGACGACGACGACAACGGCGGCGGTTCACTCTTGCCGTCGACACTATATCGACAAAACACACAGAATGCGCACATGAAAGCGAGACGGCCATAGTCGTACCGTCGTATATATTGGAGCGCTTCTATTCCACTGTGCATTCGATGGCACCGTGTTTTTGTTATTATTGATGTTCCTCCTGCTGCTGCTGCTGCTGCTGCTGTTGTTGTTGTTGTTGTGTACGGTCGGTCGGTGTGTTGTTCGCGTAATGCCGATGCCAATGCCTTTGCCGCTCTTGTGTCGACGCTATCTCGTGAGCGCATAGTACGTGTGTTGTGTTGGTTTCTGCTGTGCCGTTGTTTTTTTTTCTCGCTCGCCTGCCGTTGTTCTTTCGGCTCTTATAAGCTACTTTAGGATTTAGCATTTATCTTAAACCCAACAACCGAAAAGATTTCGTCTAAATAATTGATGTGGTAAACTTGAATATGTGTCCAGTTTGTGGCCTGATATCAAAATTGCAATCTAAATGCGGTGTTATTTTACTCTCCATTCAAACGCTAGGGAGGATTTATTTTGGAAAAAAATTATCCATCTTTTGCATGCGTTTATGGCGGCGAAATTTCGCGCGCTCAACGCTGCACACAATTGATATTCGGTTTTGAAAATTTCAATTCTTATCCGTTCGTCAAACTTTCGCTCTTTCAATGCGACACAAAACCCAAGTTTTTTTTTCGCTTTCATACTCGTGACATTTTCACAAATTGATTTTAATCTTTTGGCTTTTGCAATTTATATCGTCAGCGCGACAAAACATGAAGTAGCGCGATCCTTTAATCTCTATCATCATAACATATCGCTCACCGCGCACATTTAGCTGGCTGCTGCATAATGTATGCTAAGTTCACGGGTGCATTAGAAAATGAAGCTGTGTGCTCTTATTAGATGCTTTAAAGGCAATCCTAATGGCAACAATCCCATTTTAAATGGCACAACATTTCGCTTAGATTCGTTTTTCATTCTTGCACAATAAATTAGCATTTGCTTGGAATCAGATTGGAGGTGAGCTAGAGCATTTTCGAATATTTTGATTTTTTCTATCGCACATTTTATCGTTGTTTGAAAGGTCAAATCGAATATAAAACACGGTAATCTATAAATATTGAGTGGCTTGTCTATTTGTTTTGCCTCGACTCCCTTCTGAATTCTTGAGTTTTCCATCACAGATAAACACCGAAGCTGTCAACTTGAAGGTGGCTACCAGATAAACATTACCATTCGTTTATCAGCACGGTAATATACACCTCAAATTACTTTGCCTGTGGAGAGAGATCGAATAATCTAATGGAATTGGTGTTCTTTTTTCTTCGTTTCGTTTCGTTCTGGTTTTTTTTTTTGTTTTTTTTTCTGAATTTTTGTTACCAATGATATTCCTGCACTCCTTTTGTGTGTGAATGCGGTAGATATGGTTTGAGGGTTGATAGATAGAGAGTAAGGGAGACTCAAGAGAGTATTGGTCGAGAAAATACCGTACCAGCCATGGTACCACATGTGTTGGTTTTATTTACGACCTGCAAACAATGCTCGAATTTTCAAGAATATCTTTCCGCACACACAATGCGAGATAGACAGTCGGAGTGTGGTGCACACATCGGCCCATTATTGCCTCGAAGTGATTTTAAGAATGAAAAAATTATGAGAATTTTTCAAACCCAGAAGAGAGAGAGAGAGGAGGGAATGAAGGTAAAAATCGTTGCACTCCTAACGAACAATACAAAAGGCACACACATAGTGCACACCGACAACATTTCCAAAATGGGAAAATCCAAAATGATCGAGAATGAGGTAAAAAAAACACACATTGGCGGCGACGGCGGCCTTCTATGTGATTTTTTTTCCCTTTTCTTTCAATTTATTCAAGCCGAAGAATACTTGTGGCCTGCCTCTGTGTACTATTTTTTTCTCTAGTGTAGTTATTGTTGTTAGTCGAGCTCGGTTGCATCACAATGTTCATGCGAAATATTTAAACTGGTGTGCATATTTGATATGTGGTTTATTTGTATGCAACACATTGTTCGCCCTTTGAAATTATCAAAACGCACTCACATCAAAATTATAACTTAGATCATTAATAGTAACGAGTTGGAAAAGTGCAGCCGAAGAGAAAGAGAGAGAGAGCGAAACAAAAAAACACACGAACGAATTGTGAAAATACACCGGCGGAAACGTTTTCTATTAAACTCTCATTCAATCAGCCATGATTGCTCATTCAACGAACGTATGCTGTGTTCTAACTGGTGATTTCTCTTTATTAATTCGAATCGTTTGCTTTGCTTTATGTTCTTTTTTTTTTGTTCTTCGGTGTATTTTTCTGTGTGTCGGATAAAATGTAATGAATCGGTAGATGTGTTTATCTTTCGGAGTTGAAGAGCAGTTGAGATTTTTGTAGTCGACGCGACTTAGGAAAGAGGGAGCAAAAGAGAAAACCAAAAAAATGAATCAATGATCAATTTATTCTCGGTGTGTTTTTTTCTTCTTCTTCATTCTCCTCTATTGTATGATACGTTTTTTTATATTCAGCCCATTCTACGGCTATTCCTGCCATCGTCATTATTGTATTTTCTGTCTTTCAAAGATTTTTCAAACAATACAACACGCATATAAACGGAATTTCGAGAAAATGAAGGAAAAAACACACACACACACACATACTCCAATATGGATATGCTAACATTATATGTGTGTACATGTTCGGTTTGTATTTTGTTTTTACTGTCTTTTGCTTCGTTCATCGTTGTTGTTAATGTCGTTCAATCACAAACACAGCGAACTGATCGTTAAACTTATGTGTTATGTTTTCATTCGTCTAGATGTGCACATTCACAGAATGTACCTACACTCTGGAGAGTGTCTTCTTGTTGTTTCGATTCCTTTTTCGGTTTTCGTTTCGAGTGTGTGTGTACGAGTATGTTTTTGTGAGTTTCTTTTCCACTGGCATCTTCTATTCTGTTTAGCTGCATGATACGCAGAGAGAGAGAGAGAGAGAGAGAGAGCGAGCTGATTTTGTATTCCGAAAAAGCAAAACGAAAATGTTCCATGCCATTGTACAGTCTCAAATCGTTAAATATATTTATAGTATCGGTTCCGTATGCATGTGCATTGTGCATAAAGCAGAAGCTTTATAGGATCATAGTTGAGATGTGTGCAAGGCGTCGCATACAACTCATTCTCAAATACATGCTCAATGCACTTCTCTCTTTCTCTCGGAGCGATCGTTTAGAATTATGTTTGTTCCTTGTCTTTGTATGTAGGTTTTTTGTGTTGTTTTCGTCGTTGTTATTTCATTTGTTCCACAATCGTTGAAACATTTGTTGATGCTGTACGGATGCACACAGTGCACAGCGAATGTGTATAGATTCATTGCTCGCATACAATTCAATGTGTGCTCCAGAATCGGCATCGCCATACACCCATACGTTTCAGCTTATTCCATTCATTCGACACATAGGTGTACGGCAAAAGATTGAACGATTATGTGAATCGAAAGCCGAAAAAAACAACAACAAGAAAAATTAAACCATCGGCAGAAGATAGAGAAAAAAACACATTGACGAAAGAAAGCATTGATCTGGGCAGCATCAGCAACAACAACAACAACAACAACACGCATCTAATACAAATCGTTAACTAGAATAGCCAACGACCGAGCGCAAAAAACAACTAGTGCAAAAGTACACCGAAGCACAAGATACAGCGCGCAGAAGAGAAAAAAATGTGGGTTGCAAAATATAACATTTTGTCACATACAAATAACACAACAGTCAGCACAAAGTACACAAAATGACAATGAAAACCTATTATCGTGTGTGAAAAGAGAGAGGAAAGCAGCATACATATTTTGTGTTTTTTTTTCTTCTTTGCTACACTTAAGCTCGAGCTGGCTTGAGCGTATGTGTGTGTTGGAGCGCGAGCGCGAGCGCGAGCGCTTGAACGAACGACACTGCTCTTTCGCTCACTGGATTTGAAACCAGAGAATATAGACAATTTATTCGAACACATTATACACATATGCTCTCGGTCTCGCAAACATCAAAATTGCAACATACAACACGAACGATATCGTTTCGAGCGTGTACGTTCATTGGGCTTGCTTTCCGATCGGCCAGAAAAGAGATCTTCGGCCAATATCTCTGCGTCGAACGGAATGAGTCAGTGCTGTGTGCGCGAGCGAGCGCGCAAATATCCACAATCAAAACTTCCAACAAAGAACACAAAACACTAATATTTCTTATGAAATTGTTTACTTTGAAGCGGGTCTTCGGGCATCGTTGCCTGCACTCTGTGCTTCTCGGCCAATTCGAAATACATCTGTTCGTGTTCGCTCCATAATTGTCTGATTTTATTTTATTATCTTATGGTGCTGTTGCTGCTGCCTTTTGCCCGTCTCTCTCATTCTCTGTCACTGTCTCTGTCGCTATGTTTTGGCATTTCTTTCACCATCGTCATATTACAATGTATTTAATAAAGGTACACACTATCCGTTCGATTTAATTTGTTTTGTCGCTATTATGGCTCTCGGATGCATGTGCGCTCATTCTCTCATTCTGTTTCTCAGTCTCTCTCTCTCTCTCTCTCTCTCTCTCTCTCTCTCTCTCTCTCTCTTGGCTCATGCTCGAAGTGCAAACATTGTGCACTGTCTTCCTCGGCAAACCAAATCAAAATCTTCGCCAAACCAATAACAACAGCAGCAACAAACATATAAAACGATGCTTAGATGTACATTTGATTTGTGTTTATATTTTTCTCATTCGGAATTGGTTGTGTCGTGATCAAAACTGCATGTTTGTGTATTTTCGTTGTGTTGCATTGATGATTATTTTTGTGTGCGGTGAATGCAACACATAGCCAGAAGGAAAAACGGACTGAAAAATATGCTAGTGTCTCACGCTTCGAGCATTAGAAGATCCCGAACACATTCACATTTATTAACTACCATTTGATGTTGACTTGCATATTTATTGCATATGGTAGTATAGTATTATAGAATCTGTGTGGAAAAATGGTATCGAAAATGATTCGAGTCTTCATCTCCCTCTCCGGTTCGCTCTTGCTCGAATCCATAAGCAAAACTGCTTAGATTGTAACATTCAAACAAACGGTTATGACAAACACAACTCTAAATCATTCCAAACAATAAAAAAACACAGAACAAAATGGTGTCCAATAAACAGAAAAACTCAGTCACACATACACACACACACTACGCTCACACAGAATGGAAAAGAAAATGTGATACACAAATTCTACAGACAACGGTACATTTATCGTTTTCAAAGTATCTTTCAACTCGTTTTTTTTGTCATTCCTTCCTACCGATTTTAGTCATTCCAAGTGATTCTTCGGACCGTTTTGTCTTTTGTTTCCAATGAACTTTTCAACTTTTTCAATATGCTTACAATTGAATTTCGATAAAAAAAAATGTGACAATTTTTTGTTGTCTCTTTGTTTGCTATTCATTTCCCAAAACTAATCACAACTTTGAATATTGTTCGTGCTGCGAACAATGAAACGATACTTTGAAAAATTCTCAAATCAAAATATCCGTACCCGAATTCTCAATCGAATGGAATGCCACTGCATTGTCGTTTTGTAATCAGTGCAACCATTGATTGTGTGTCGAAAATTGAGGGGACTGGCACACACATGATAATTGTGTGTGCCTTTTTGCAATATGTGGAACAGCAGCTAAATTGATATGCATCCTGCCACTGTGTCGCGTCGACTCTTTCGAAAGCGCGACAGCCATTTCTTAATCTTTTAGAACATTGACTGGGGTAGTGTGGTGTTGTGCAAATTGAAATATACTTTAATAGACCCAACTGCATACACGTATGTATGTCTCTCTCGGTGAGGCTGTAATAGAAGAAAAGAATGCAGAGCATAGCGAATGAAACAAACAAAAAAAGTTCGACTAAATGAAGTACAACAATGAACGAATGAGCTCGCGAGCCACAGCAGCACTCACCGAAAAGATGGTATATATATATATATAATCAAAAGCCGTTGTGTGTAAAATTTAGTGTGTACTTCGTGGTTACGATTTTCTTTTCTTCTTCTTCTTCTTCTTATTCTCTGCTTTCTTTGTTATTTTTATTATTGTAAAGTTGGTGTAATGAATATACAAAGACATTGCCTAACCGCTTAAAATGACATAAGATGATTGAAGTCATCAAAGCGACACATAAACACGGCTACGAGACGAATATAGACTGGAGCAAAAATGCACGGCACAAGAAAATGAATGGGGAAGAAGAAGCAGCAATGGCAAAGAAAAAAAAAACATAGCATCGAAATAAATGGGAAAAATGCCATCGTGCACCGGGGATAGAGAACAGAGCAACCAGTATCAGCAAAAGAGGAAGGCACGAACGAAAATGACGTGCGAGACGAGGAGAGAAGTGATGGCAGAACGCGTGCAAACCGAAGATGAAAGACATCAAGTTCTATAATCGTAATTAAGAGGAACAAACGATTACTTGTTGGTATTTCCCTCTCTCTCTCTCTCTCTCTCACTCCCCTCGCTCTCCTCTACCCGCCGCAGTTTTTTTTTTGCTTTTGTTTCATACTTTCTGCTCGATTGTGGCATAGTGCCGTGCTCTCGGATGCTCAGACTTATTCCCGTCAATTCTTCACCGTGTTCTTTTCCGCAAATATGTGGCAAATTTACCGTTTTGCATTGTGTATATACACACGCTACTATCATTCTCTTTTCATTTCGGTGTTTTACTTATAATCGTCATCGTCGTCGTTGTTGTCATTGTCGTCGTCATCATCAATGTATAATCCGTCCGACCTATATATTTCCATGTTGTCATTAATAGTGAATGCATTATTGTACTTTTTTCTCTGTGTGTGTGTGTGTTGTTTCATCATAACAGAATATGATTTCCTATTGTGAGCATGTTTAGTTTTTCATTTAAAACTTGTCTCAAAGTGGTCCCAATAATAAATCGTCTTTATCTGTTTTGTTGTTTTGCATGCCGTTTTTTTTTTAAATATTCATTCTTCCACTCAACACACTCGCGGTGCTGCCGTTGTCTTTTTTTCTCCTCCTTTGCTCGCTTCTGTGCTGAAATATGCTTGCACACAGTGCTTTGCATTCAAATCTGTGCGCGATGTTTTCGAGCGTTACACGATCCGACTGAATTAAAACAGTCAATGCTTAATATTATGTCACCCAAACGAGTTGAAAAGTGCTTACGGCAAATTATTTTTATTTGGCTGCAATAATAAAATCGCTTTGAACACAGAGAAAAATGCTGCTTTTGTCAAACAACTTCAGTTTGCGTCGTTGTTTTTATTATTGTTTTCTTTTTTTTCTGTCTCTGAATCACTCTGACACTCTATCCGATGCACACACTTCCGCAAAAAAAAGAAGTAGCAGCGAAAAAAACACAAACACACAAAATCCAGCGAGCGAGGAGAATAAAGTGATTTTTGTATCTCATTCTACAGTCGAAGCAGAAAAAAAAACATATTGAAATGAAATGATCGGGCGATGGATTTGGATTCAGTTTTAACACCGCCCAATGGAAATTGATCCGAATTCAACGAACAAGCGATTGCATTGAATTGACGTCAATATAAATATCACATAACACACTAAAAAACGAAGAAGAAAAAAAAACAGCACCGCACAAACGATATACACTCACACCAACGGCTGGGCATAAACATTGCTGGAGTTTTTTTTTCTCTTCTTTCCGATCTACGCAAAATGAATCGCACTCACTGTGCAAAAGTCAGAGTCGGTGATATTTTCCATCCATGCCCAAATGCTCATGCATTAGGCAAACAAATTGTCCTTGAAACACTGCATATAACGTGAACTAAACGAATTGATACTTTTGTTTTGTGCGCGAAATAAAGTGTTGTATTTTTTTCACTCTCATTGCATTTCATTTTTGTATTTGGCTTTGATGCCAATGAAAATTGTGTTATTTTTTTCCTCTCTACTCTGCATATCAAATTCTCCACATCAAATTGAATCGAACGCGGTATTGAAGTGATGAGAGAGAGAAATGAAAAAAAAACCGTAGAGGCACACACAGGCACTAATTTTTGGTGAATTATTTCTATGTTGAACACTTACCGTCTCATTATCGGCAATGGGAATGTGTATCGGCCGTCGTCGCTAATTCCAACGGGTATCAGAGCTGATGGTGGAGCAGGTACGAGTACAGATGGCGGAGGCGATTGAGTCAGAACCGAGGCTGCATTGATTTGGCAATGGCTGGGCATTGGAAGTGTTGTGTACGGCGGTGGATGACTGATTACGTGATTGTGCAAAATATCGGGTAGAATTTCGCAATTGGAATGATGCGAATGCATAGCCAGCGATTGATTTGGTGGTGGATGCACATGTTGTCGTGAACTTCTTGGTTGGCGACGCTCACGACGTTCTCGGCGTCGTTGTTCCCGGCTCGTTTGTGCCTCACTACTATCCGTGCCAGAGCGTCGGCTGTGCGAATGATTTGGCTTATTGCTACTAGTTTTGACTGTTGTTGTCGATTCAATCAATGCAGCATCGGCCGATTGACTTTGCTGCTGCTGTTGTTGTTGTTGTTGTCGCTGCTCCTGGCTGCTTTGATGCTGTATATCATCTGTTTGCGCCTCGGTCGATGTGAACGTGCGCTGATTCAAATGAACTTGACTCGTATGGTTGGGGCTTGAGTTATTTGTATTATCCGTTACACTTATCATACTACTGTTACAGTTACCACTATTCGTATGCACAAATCCACTTTGTACCCCATCACTGAGTACCACATTTGCATTCACAATTCCATTTCCATTTGCATTTGTATTTGAATTTGAATTTGAATTTGAATTTGTTGTATTTTCACCGATAAATTCAATATTATCACATTTTTCACTTGTTTCACTCATCAGATTGGTGTGGCTTTTCGTTTGCGATTGCATCGAATTGTGGTCGTTGTCGATGTTATTGGCTTTATCACTTTTACAAATATCGATACAATTCTTATTTTGCGAAGCACTGCTGTTATTAACCACTTGCACGGGCACCGCACGATAACTAACAAAGTTCACCTGTTGCGTTTGTTCGTTTTGCTGTTGTGGCGGGTAGTGTTGGAATTGGGAGATCAATCATCAGTATCAGCAGCAGTCACATCGAATGGATACGGAGACCGAGTTAGAGAAAATGAATGGAAGAAAAAGAGCACATGTAAGTATTTGATTAGTGGGAAATTCTGTGGCATTTCATGTCATGAGAGACAGAGTGAGATCAGGATTGAAAACCGCAAACCAAAACAACAACAACAAAAAAAACACTGAATCACAGAACAAAATGAAACAATGGCCGAACATGTCGAATTGCTCAATTACCTGCGTTTGTTGCGACTGATGATGCTCGTTTTGATTCACTTGAATTGTAAGACTTGGCTGTGCTTGTGATACGATGGCACCCAGAAGTATTCCATTTTCGAATATATGACTTGCAGATGGACACGACGCTGATGATGATGATGATGTTGTTGTGGTCGTCGTCGTCGTCGTCAACGTCGTCATGGTGCCCAATGGCAACGAGCAACCATCATGTGCATTCGAAATATTTACAACCGTTTTACTGTTATCGATATGATTGATTCGCGTGGATACACTAATGGATGGCTCTCTGGCAGCAACAGCTGTTGAATCTTGATTAGGCACATTGAGTCGCATCGCCGCAACCGCACAACTGTTTTTTTGTGAAATATTTTCGCGATTAGAACGACTAAAATTACGTATATTACTTTCACTATTTCGACTAAACTTAAACAAATCGAAAAAAGCATGCGCTGTAGACGATACGCTGGCATGGAATAACCGATCACGACTGAACAGCGCTTGGCTCGATCCAATGTTTACAAGCGACGATCCATTCGTCGTTTGTGCTGCTGCTGCTGCTGCTACAGCCGCTGTTACTGTTGTTTGCGTTTCTCTTGCCTCTCGGCTGCCGCTTGTTGTTGTCGTCTCTCTTCTCGTCATATTCATCGTCGGTGCTGTCGAATGTGCCCGATCATTCCCTACTCTCGGCTGTTCGTGCTCACCGTATACCGTATCACGTGTTCGCAACGCATTCACATACTCGTGCTGCTGCGTCGCTTGTATTGATGCATCGTTCATAGTCGTTCTATTGAGTTTACTGACCCGCTCAGGTAAGTCTTCGGCACGAATTCGGCTTTGACCAACACAACAATCAACAACAGCGTTTGTGGCATTTGTACAATTTTTTTTGTTCTGTATCACAGATGATTCGATGTTAGACGATGTCGACATTGATTTTGATGTTTCGCCTAGTCTCGAGTAATTTGTATTTCGATTGGGATCTTGGTCTCTCAATCCCATTTGATCGGTCAAAAATCGGATGTCAAGCTGGCTGAAATCGCTCGAAAATCGATTTGACGATGCGGACGCATGATCGGTCTGTCGAACAGCTGCTGCTGCTGCTGCTGCTGTCGATGTTCCGTTTATACTATGAACCTATTTCAAGGAGAAACGAAAAAAGACACAAAAATTTACGATCAATTGATAGCTTTTTTTTATTGCGATACAATTTAATAGAAAAACTCCAATTTGTGTGTTGAAATGTCGACCATATGTATGTGTCGTATTCTAGTTCGAATGACTTGAATTTAAATTACAGAGAATTAAACCACCCCCGCAATGAATTAAATATGATTTTTCGTCGCACAAATCAGAGAGCGAGAGAGAGAAAGAAAGAAAGAGAGAGAGAGAGAGAAGCGAACGGTTGATCACGATTGAATCGGTTCGTTGCTGTTTATCACATTCCGATTTACATAATTGAGTGAGTGTGAACGCAGCTAGTAGTAGTAGATCTTATTGGGTCAAATGTTAATGTCAGATCGCCGGTTCGAATGGTTTACCAGATTATTTAAAGAAGAAGACGACAAAGACGAAGAAAAATTGGTGGAAGTGGTCTGCGCTTAAATGTGAATTTCTATTAGATAGTTCAACTTCCTTGGCCGACACTGAAACGATGTATTAATGTGATATAGTGAACGTGCGTATTTCATCAAAGCAATTTGACTTAATTTTTCACTCAATCCAGTGCTTTATCTATGTCTATGTTTTATTGTGACTTTCGGCTGTTTTGGGTGATTTTCTTTTCTTTCGCTGTTGTTGTTTGATTGTTGTGGCTGTTGTTGGAAGAACATCAATTTGATTAACATGAACTACGGATGTTTGGAGAATGTTTGGTGAAGTATGCCGTGGTCGTAGCTGTTGTCATAATTGCCGTTGCCGCCACCGCTGCTGCTGCTACTTTTAATATTCTTCGACCTATTACATTTGATTGTGCGATATTCTTGTGTAAATGATGCCGTATTGTATGTAAATTTTACGCTCTCGTTTCAATTCATTTCTTTTCTTTTCTTTCCATTTATTTCCATTTCTTTCTTTCTTTCTTTTTTCTGCTTTCCATTCCATGAATATCAACAATTCAGTTTCGTCAGGTCGTCGTCGACGAAGTTTACACACATTGCATCTGAACGAATTAATGCATTTATGTGTTTTATTGATAGAAATAAGAATTGTTTTCATACTTCATACATTTGTGTATACATTTTGTCTGTGTCTACTGGGCTAAGTCTTACTTCACCTTGTTTTTTTTTCTTCCTTTGGTTTAATGTGTTTTTCTTGCGCGAATATGAGCGCGCGCGTGTGTGTGCGCCCGCATGCTTGCACATTTTTTGCCGGTGTTCAATAAATGAAAAATAAACAAATAAAAATGGAAATGATTTTCGATGTTTTTGATTTGTTTTTTTTTATTTCAGCCGATTGTGCGTGGCTGTGGATTCGTGGCCAGGGAAGTATCTCAGGGAAGTATAATTATATATTAAAAGAAAGTTTTGTTTTGCGATGCGATGCGCGATGAGCGATGAGCGGCAGATTCTTTTTTATGTTTCGACGGGCTGTGTGTATGCGTAACACGGAGCTTTGTGTTTGTTTGTATATTTTTTTTCCTGCTGTCGTTGCTGCTGCTACTACTGATTGATATAGTATGATTGGGGTTTTATGACGTGACTAAATATTTACATTTTTCGCATTTACAACTGATTCACCGAATTACGTTTTGCTATGAATGAATGATACGCTTAAAAAATCATCGAATTAATGAAGGAAATGCAGTTTTTTTTCTGTTTCTTTCTAGTTGCACATGCATGGCCAATGCTATCGCGATGTGCTACAGTCTAGCGATGTTTTTCGCGCAACCATTTTTTTGCCATGTCCAGTCTATACGCTCTGCTTATTGGAAGTAAGACAACGTTTTTTTTTCATTGGTTTTGTTATTTTGACCCGTCGAGCACATTTCGATTACAAAAATTATGGGCTTGCAAACGAATGAATAAGTTATTGTAATGTTTTTTTTTCTGCGGCCATTTATTCATTGGTAAATGTTTGGTCGGTGATTTTTATTTTCCATTTATAGGTAAATTGCAGTTACAATATAATCTATACAGTATACACACAGACATAGCAACAAACGTATGAAAAAAAGAAGAAGATTGCATTATTATATTATATTTGCGACTTCATAGTGGATACTATCCACTGGATAGAGTCTTTGAAAATAAAAGACGACACTATTTTATTGTAGTTCTAGAGGCTTATGACTCTCGCGAATACCGTGCATGCATTCGCATTTATGCACTTAAAAGTTGAGTGGCTCCGAATAACTGCGAACGCCGGTAACAAACTTCCAATGCATGCGTGTATTTACATGTTATTTCAATCTTTTTTCTATTTTCTGATGCTTTTAACGAAAATTCTATGTATTTTGTGCCAAAGTGCAACATGGCCGGCTTGAATGACACTGACAACTCATTTGCTTATTTCTATTAATGCATTTATTCGCAATGCTTCTATGAAGAATCGCTTCGCATTTGCCTAATATTTGAATTTGAATGCATACGCGTTGACACTGCTAATGCTCCCACATATTTGCTAGGCAACATGCAAATTGAGCATTTGACAGCTACACTAGCGTCACACATTGAAGCAAATGAAACCAAACGTGGTGAGTGTGTTTCATGACACTGAACACACAGAACTTTCGTCGTTAAACGAATTCATTGGAGAATTGTGCTTTACTTGATTTTGTTAGTGTCGTGCGCGCCCTGTGCATTATAATGCGCAATAAAATCAGTTGCGTGTATCGAGGTGTCTGGTTAGGCTTTGAAATCCATTTGAAATCATTTTGTTTGAAGCGCGCACTCCGGTATGTGCAAATACTTTGTGTTCAGTCGGTCTTCAGCTTCTTCAGCTGGCATACACAAACTGTTATCTGGTTAATATGTTGCATTGTAGTCCGTCTTACTTACAGTAAGTTTTCCACATTTTACCTTCGTACGCTTCTTCAATCTTTTTTTTCGCTGTTGTTTCGTTTTCCTTCTAATTCATGGATTTCAATGGTGGTTTTTTTTTGCCGCTCTTACTGTTGTTGTTGTGTTCATTTTATTCCTAGGCATATATTGCATTATGAAGGCGCTCAAACAATTACTCATTACCATTTAAAAGTATTACGGAAATAATGAAGAAAGAAACAAAGAGGTAACCAAATCAAAATTTAATCGGCTGTGAAATAAATACGCAACGCGTGCGTTCTGCTGTTGCTGCTGTTGCTGCTGTTTGTTTCCCTTTCTCTTGGATATCACATTGCGACTTATCGTCTCGACTCTTTTGCGCTTTTCTCTCTCTCTCTCTCTCGCGCGCGCTCAACTCTTAGAAAGATTTCCATGCAGTTATGTGTTAGCCGAAGACAATTACATGCAATATTTATTATTTTGATCGCCATTCACATCACTCGGCATGGCATACAGAATGCGTTCATTACTTCTGTGCGCTGTGTTTTGTTTTATTTGCGTTTGTATACATATCTATCTAGCGGAAACTGAAATCTAACTGTACCTTGAATGTGCTTCATGCACTTTGAAAATTCCATGGAATGAGACAGCGAAATAATTGAACGAAAAACCCCTCGATACATTTTACGAAAAAAAAAAGAACACAACGAAACAAATCCAAAGAAAATGATTAAATCTTCAATTCAGCCAGTGGAATTATGTGTTTCGAGAATGAAAATTCCATTCAATTGAGATGTGAGATTGTGGGGCCCGCTCGTCTCAATTGTTTGTAATTAAACAAATAATCGCTATTTCGTTCCGCATGTCTCCGATGCTATGTAGATATGTATACAAACAACCTTTAGAAAAATATACCGTACACACAGAGTCAAAATTGGAGACGTTCCACCGAAGCTCATTTACTACTACCGTTCGTCTTTAGAAATGGCAATAACAATAGAGAAATGGCCAAGAGTCAAATGTGTGTGCGTGTGTGTGTGTCCGTTGCTATGCATTTCAGAAACGTTCAATTTTGATTCTAATTACTTGACTTGAAAAAATGGCAAAACAGAAATAAAGAAACAAAATGAGTCACATTTATCTTTTCAAGAAAACGTATACGTATGTGTGTGTGTGTTTTGATGCCATCGACCAATTGAACCTAAAACACTGTACCTCATGTACATTTGAATCTGTTTCGTTATCATTGCTCTTTGTCCTTCTGAACTGATAATCATCTAGATAATAAAAATGACAGCAAAAAAGAACCAGGCCCAAACGAAAAAAAAACAAGCGTTGAGTAATTTGCGTCTCATTTAGGAATGTACGCATTTTCAATTGAACTCCGTCCCGCATTATATTCTTTTGCATAAATTCTTGTCGGAGTTTCTTGTTTATGTTTTTCTTTCTGCCTTAAAATTTCGCACATTGACACCGACCCCGGCCATGATAAAGTTCGTAAAAATTTACCTTTTCGAAACAAACAACCGGGCGAGTAAATTGAAAATCGGCGAAAACAATGGGACTGACTTTTAAATGATAAAAAAGGCAACAGCAAGATAACGACAACGACAACAATTGCTGCAGAAAAAAAATAAATGATATGGGCACTCAGGCACATATACACACATAGTCACCTATCTAATGCAAATCAAAAGGTCTAAATGGCACACAAAAGTATATTCAATGCATCCGTGCAATGCAATGCGCATTGTTGCTCATGAATTATTACAGTGCCAATGCATAAATGTGATGATAACCCACACACATGCACACATGCACACACACATACACGGCAGCGGCGTCATTTCAGCGGAAGTGATTCGCCTGTCGTCGCCGTTGTTGCTGCACGTAGAGAGAAAGATAATTTGGCAAAAATTGAGGAGCATGCATGAAAACGGAATGATTTATTTACCTGGTATTGAAGAAAGTCATCGGTGAATGAATGCACCATCGATGTCGGACACATGGACTGTTCTTGTATCATATAGATGCCATTTGACGGACAACTTGCATTATTATTGGCGATGGTAGTGGTGGTGCTGCTGCAGCCACTGCGGCCGATATTATTGTTGTTGTTGTTGTTGTTGTTATAGTAAATGCCATTATTGTTGTTGTTCACGTTATCGGCGACGATGTTATTCGAATTATTGGTATTGTTTACGCGATTCGTATTAAAACCGGCCAAGAAATAGTTACCAAAGTTGCGCTCCTTTTCAATGTGGTCGTACGACGGTAGTTCGCTGTGCAGGCTATTGTATGTTTTCGGAACGAAATATCCGTAATTTGATGCAAAATTACCTTCACGATACCGACGTACCGGTTTCGAATGTAAATGTTGATCGGTTATTGCAAACAAATCGGTGGCTGTGATTTTTGATTGCAATTTACTGGTGTTGTTGTGTGTGCGCAAATTGCAATCGTTCATTTCTTCTTCTTCATCGGATGAATCGGATGGACTGCGCTGATACGGTGTCCAGAGCATCGACGACAATGCCTCTTCGACGTCAGGCGGCCGCCGATGCCTCTCCATCTTCTTTTGTTTTCCACTCAATCTCAAACCCAATCCACACACACACACGCTCTCGATCCAATTACGTCGTTAATTCTTCTTGGGTTTTTTTTGTTTGTCTTTTCTTTTGTTCTTTTTTTCGCCTTCTTATTCTCCAGTTTGTTATTGTTTTACCGTAGTCGTTGGCTATATTCAATTGGACCGTTTAAGGTAACGCACAAACAGTTTTTTGATGCAAGCATTCAATTTAATTAGCATAATTCACATATCAACGACCCGCTAATGACAATATGTAAAGCAATTCATCAATTTATCAATATTCGTGGTTGTTGTTGTTGTTGTTGTTGTTGTTACTTTTTTTACAATTACATTACATGACATGGGCTACGTTGGTGCAGTGCTATCTCTGTTCACAGCAATAAATGACACTGTGCGATTAGAATCAGTAGCGCGAGCTTTGGTTTGAGTTACAACCCAAGAGATATATATTATAAACATTATCGACACAATGTGAGAATGTCCATTCCGTGCGCCGATGCCAATGATGATAGTGATAATAGTGGTAATAATAGCTATCAAGTTGATGTAATGACATAACACAATATGGCATACTTAGCCGTAACGATATGCATTTAAATATGTACAATATACATATATAGATATATAGATATATGCTTGATACGCGCCCAAATATGCGTTTCTATGCGAAGATTGAGTGGTGTGGTGGTGCTGTGTGTAATTGTAAGTATCAGCTACTCTGCACAGCTCAGCGATTTATCACAAATTAAAGTGATCGCCTTTTCTTCACTTTTGCCTATCGTATTTTTCTTGTGCAGCACGTATACAATCGAAGATTTCGCACCAGTTTGTGTGTGTGTTGTAGATTTGATGTTTGCAAAGTGACAACGCACGCTCGTTCACTCGCAACTAGATCATATCGCATAATGCTCTCGCACGCAACTCGCTGAAATGAAATTCAATCAACCATCGGTTGTGTATGAAAACCGAACCAAAGCACCCAACACTCGCACAGGCATATGAATCAGCGTGGTTTCCTTGCTTTAGCACTGCAAATGACTATTCTCTTTCACTTTTTTTCTTCATTTATGATAATTCCATATAATTAACATATAAATGCAATAATACTTTGGCTGTTGATGTTTTCCTTATGTCGATGGCGGCTCTGTCGCTGCACTTATGTGTGTTTTATTATTACTTTTTTGTGTTTTTTTTTCTTCTACTTCTTCTTCTTTTTCGGATTTTTCTGTTTTAGTTTCTTTTTGCAAACAATTTACTGCACTGGATCTCGCTTCACTCTCGCACGCTTTCAATCAAAACGTAAAACGCTTCAAGAATGCACTTTACGTGCGTGTGTATGCACGGTGTGTATGTGTGTAGGTCGATTTCGCATAAAGCTTTCACACTTTCACTCGATGTGTGTTGCGAGGAAATTGCAGGCAACCGATTAGTAACGATGCCAAATGCAACCGCCTAAAAAAGTGTCACTTGATTCTTTGTATCAGTTTGAGAAAGAAAACAACACTGTTGACACTTATTTCATTCAACTCGATTCTCATTCAATTGGCTGACTGGCCGAATGTAGCAATTTGCGTAGTCAATTCTTTTCTTTTTCCTCTTCTTTCAACGTATGTGTGAATGTGTGCCTTTGTCCATGCGTCCGGTTGAATTTTCTACTCGCGTCATCGATTCACGGAATCTCTCATTTCTCTTTCGATTTATTTTTAATGTTCTACTTATAATTTTCGTTTCGGTTTTGTTTCATTTCTACGTAGGTAAATTCATGAGCGCATTTTGTCGTCAAACCATATACATTTTTATTTTTATGAATGTATAAATGCGAATATAACTGCTGCTGTTGCGTTTGCTTCAGGTATGTGATTTTCTCTCCTACTTGTCGAAAGAGTCCGAAGATCATTCATCCGGTTGATAGATAAATATCGTTGGAAATTGGCTTGATGTGGTTACGGGCGCGGGCTCAAGCACTTTCAGTCACCCAGCCACCAAACACTCAATTCCAACCACACGATGAAATCTTCTTCTTTTGTTCTGATTGTGAATTGGTCGAAATCTTGCGACGGTCGTTACTAAAAAAATATGCAAAACGCCAACTGAAATGATGGTAGACTGGATAAAAAAGATAAAGAGAATAAGAAAATGCTATTATTAAAATGCTTGAATCACATTGCATAAATTTCTCTGTGTGTATTTCTTCACGAGTTATTTTTTTTTTTTTTTTTGCTTTTTTACGATTTGACATAATAATGGGCTTGTGATGTTTGATTTCAATGTAATGCCTGAACCAAAAGCTAAAGCTCAAATTGAGGAAAAAAAACACAAACTGAAGACAAAGGGAAGGGAAGTTTGTTTGATACATAAATGCTATTTATTGTTGGCAACGAGCAAAAAAATTTGCCATTCAAAACATTTGCTCCAGATGGAATTTTCGACTGCCGTTTTACGTATTATGTTTTATTTAGATGTAATTATGATTACGTTTCTCAAATTAACATCGAATGAAATGAAACAACAACGAACGAGAGAAGAAAAAACACTGCGCAACAAGAGATACACTTGCTGCAAAGTATATTCGCAATAGAAAAAATGGGATGGAAGGAATGTGTTCGATGCTGTGAGATAATTTTTTTTTTTTAAACGTAATAAGATCTTGTTATTCAGTTGATTTTTAAAATATAGAAATTCATAGTCGAAGAAAAATCTCTCTCCCTCTACCCAGTTACAGAATGAAATGTATTTAGTGAAATTCAATTTTTTTGATCGTTTGAAAGGACTGGGAACAAACACACCATGTTACCATGTTTTTCAGAATGTGACTCAGCAATCGATGTTTTAATCGAAATTAAATAACTTTTGGCCAAAAACCGCAAATAATCTTTTAATCGTCGTAATCATCACCGTTGACGACGCCGTAGTCGTTGTAGTCAACAAACGCAAAATGCGAAATAAAACCTTGAATCCAATCGATGCGGTGAAGTGCGTTTTAAAAACGCCAAATTGGCCCTCATCACACTTGAGTGTTTGATAATAATAAGTAATAGTTTTCCGTTTATAGACCGAGGAAAAACAGTTCATAACAACACACACACAATTTCGAATGTTTCGACAAATTTTCGTTTTTGTTGCAATTTTTTTAAATTAAAATAAAAACGTGTTTGGTTGACCGGATTTCATCAATTAAAGAAATTATGACATGTTCATTGATTGAGCAATCAAAGATTTTGACCATCTTTCTCACATAGAGCCGGAAAGCGAGAGAGAGAGAGAGAGAGAGAGAGAGAGAGCGATCTACGCATGAAAAATGTCCAAATTGCAAATCATTGCGATGAATTGAACGATTATTCAATTTTAAAGCTCAATATGTTCATTTTCTCTCATTCAATTTTTCGCTCCATTAGTCGATCAAATCGTTAAATGCCCATTGCTATCATTAACTTTACGCAATGCGCATGAGAATGATGCACGATCAGCGAAAAATATTGTTTGTAAGACAACGACAACGATGAGCGAGATGAGAGCAGCAGCCGCAGCACATACGGTTTGCGGAATCATTGGTTTTTGAAATTTTTCGTTTTTTTTTCTTTCATTTCATTTCTTTTCTGCTTTGAGAGAGCACGATTGCAACCCACGACAGCAGCCGGGGATGATTTGCGAGTAATTTATCGAATATATCATTTATAAAATGAGTGTATGTGCGCCTTGTTGTTTTTTTCTTCATATCTCCATTTAGCTTCGGGTATGTCACACTCTGAACTCTCTGCCAAGGCTATGGAAGAGTGAAGGCAATTTTTGCATGGCACTGGGAGACATTTGTATTCATTTATTTACGTTCTAAAATGTGTGACATTGCGGTTTTTCCGCCATTCATTCAGTCATATTTACACAAGGATTAAAAATGTTCGCTTGTACTGATGATGTGGATGATGATTTTAAGGGAATTCCGGAGTTACGTTGATTCTTGAAATCCTTATGCAAGCAAAACATTAATTCGTCTATGTGGGAAAAAGCATCTTTCTCTCGATTGCTACTTGTTCTACTCTTCTGTTCTGTCTCTCTTTCTCACACTCTCGCAACGCATTCAATCGTAAATTGAAGCTCAGTTGCCAATATAGAAATAAATTCGAATCCCTTTACACTTAAATTTTTGTTTGTTTAAACCGTATGATTTTCAGCAATGTAATGGAAATAAAGTGAGAGCTGAGTTCATTAGAAGCTACCAATTTCATAAATTATGTATTTGGCCGAAATGGAAAAGGTATAAAGCATCGTAGTGCTGCTGGTGCTGATCCTGATGTTGTTCTTGCTGCTGTTCTCTGTGGGTGGAAATTGTGCATGGAATGTTCATATGCTCAAACGCATCATTCGAAAGATAATTTCGCATTTCAATCGAGAGCGAGTGTGAGAGAGAGTACGTTGGTCCCATTGTACCGATGCAATACCGTATTTCAAAGGAGATACGCTAGTACGCTTTCTGGTTTAAATGATGCCGGTCGTTCAACATAACATCACTTCAAGATGCATGAGTTCCTTAAGATGCATGCAATCCACTCAAAAGTGAATATGCAAACACTATTCGGCGTGTATTGTATTATCGTTCATCTATTAATTTAACAAAATTGGTGTGCTAGTGCTGGGGAAAGAATCCGAAACATAGAGATAGAAACAGAGAGAGAGAGAGAGATCTCACACCGTCTGTCGAGTTTTGCCTCATGCTTCGGTTTGCTTTTGGCTATGTGTATGTGTGTGTGTTGTGTGAAAGAGCGGCCCGAATGGCCAAATATTTGCATGTGATTCCTCTTCACTACACAAACAATATGTTACAAAGATTCTCTCTTAAAATATTCATTTAAATAATGCGATTATTGTATATTTTGTACACTTGAGCTCACTCTCCGACGCATCAACGTTTCGTACGAGAGAACATTCCGATAAGTGGTTGCATCGTGTATACGAATAAATATACCTTAAATGAAAGCATTGTTCTGTTGTTTGTCGGAGCACGCTTACGATTTCATCATGATGTTGATTTGGAATTGAAAGCAATGAATGGAAGCGAGAACGAGAGATACCCAGAATACACAATGCGAATTTGTACAAACACATTGAGGCCGTGCAAATGATTAATCACAAGTGATTTCTAGAATTACTGTCGCCTGATATAGGTTCACTTTCAATCGCAGCTGATCTAAAAACGGGCGTCCATTATTATTCACAAAACTTAATGAACATCAACCGAATCAAAGTCACCAGTAAATTTTGACATTGAAACATTGAAATGATACAAAGCCAAAATTTATAATAAATATTGAGTGAAAAAAACGAGAGAAAAAAAACAAACAACAACAACAACAGCAACGACGCTCAAATTGTGTATGAAAACCAAAACCTACTGTACGCACACCACTACTCGATACTCATTGTTGCTGTTGTTGTCATTTAAATTGATTTGTATTCATAGACTCACGAAAACAAAAGACAACAGGCGTTCAATTTAATGGGATCGCAATGCATCGCACAGCGCTCTCTGCCGAATGCGGTTTCAAATGCCAAATGCGGTTATGCCGACCAACATGACACATTCCAAATTTAATTAATTCTAATGTATGAACGCGATACAAATTTACGTAGTGCGTGCTAGAAATATGTGGAGCATCATTTTCATTGAAAATGGAAGCAGCGCATTTTACTCGTTCTCTCTCTCTCTCTCTCTCTCTCTCTCGATTGCCTCGGCAACTGAAAGTTAAAATGATTTCCATAAGCGAGTTGCAAACTGAAAACCATTCCATCGATGTTAATAATCTAATTAAATGT